ATGTGTCTTGGGACTAAGAAGAGAACCGCATGATAGTCCGAGGACAAATATATCATTTTCTCTAAATTATATATATATTTGACATTCGTGGCTGATGTATCGGCTTAAATAAACTAACATGAGATGCCATTCATTTTTTTTTTAATTAATTAGATGATATGAAGCGAGAATATTAGCCAAGAATAATTATAACAAAAAAACAAATCAATTCAATATATTTTCTTTTTGATATCCCTATAACTTCCCTCGTTACAAGATTTACAAAAAATAATTTTTTAACCTAAAAAAATAAATACATGTATATATATTCAATGCATTTTAAAAAATAATTATTAATTAAAAAATATATATTTAATTAAGTAAATTGAAAATTATATGTGTTAATAAAATACAAAAACAATTATTAACTTCAAATAAAAACTAAATTGAAAAGCTGATGTGTGAGTGTGTATATAATTTTTTATTATTATTTTATTTTTATTTTTTTGCTGGAGACGGAACACCAAACGGAGAAGAAGGAAAAGGGAAAACCTTCTGCCTCTGGTGACTAAAGTCCCTTCTTAAACATGATATATTTTTTTTTCTATGGATTTTATTCAATCGTTTTTTTATACCTTAGATTAAAAAAAAAAAAAAACCAAAGATATTAGACGCAATTAGATCCATCACCCATCTTTTCATCCGAGAAGACGGTATATCTCTGAGGCCGAGCCCCTCATAATGACTTATATAAGGCCCAGGAAAAACTGGATGGGGGATTCTAATATAAAAGGAGTAGTATAATGTTACTGATGAAGAATCCACCCTTTTTTTCTTTTTTTTTTTAAGGGAAGCACAGAAGAAGATCTATTGATATTTTTTTTTAGGGAAGCACAGAAGAAGATCTATTGATATTAGAAGAAGAAGAAAATGTAAGTAACAAAACCAAGTTGTTTAATTAAAAAAATTAATATAAGATTTTTTAATTAATCTGTATTAATTTATTTGAGTTAAAATTAAATGTTAAGGCGCGCATATATATATAAAGTTAAAATAAGGACTAGAAAATTGTTCTGATGAGACCTAACTTGTCTAATCTTTCCTCTTTTTTCAATTAAAAGATACATAATATGTTTTTTATTTTTATTTTTTTAAAAAATAAAAACAAATAACATATTATTTGTTAAAGCAGATAATATGTTGTTTATCAACTCAGTTTCTAACTATTAGAGAAAGAGTTAAAAAATGAGGTTGGGTATATAATGAAAAATCATCTTAAAAACCATTTTCACTTAGAAATATCAAAAAGTATCCTTATAATGTCAATAAACTAATAAATCAACTCAAAACACCCCAAAAATAAATAAAAAATAAAAAATCAAACAAAAAAAAATTCTCTCTTAAGCCTAATCTTGTTTTTTCTAGCAATATAAAGAGAAAAATACTTCAATAAAATTCTTATTATTGAATGAAACTTATTGATATCAAAAATAATTTTTTTTATATAGTTAAAATATGATTAACCAATGACTTTATCTCTTCTATCATCTTCCAATGATTCTCTTATTTTCTTAAATCATAAATTGAAAACAAAAAATTGAATTAAAACAAAACTTTCAAAACTTATCAAGACTATGGTAAAAGAGGAGGAAAATAGATGGCAAAAATAAAACTTTTTGTGGGAATTCTAGTTGAGCCATATTGTTTCGATGTGTTTAACATTTTGATCTTCTTTGTTTTAATTGTGCCTTGTAACAACAAATTATAAGAAATTGATCACTAATTTGGTCCTACAAGGTTACGATTGAGAAAATTTTTTTTTTAAAAAAAAAACTATTATCACAATCCATAATGCTTTATGTTTAGGTTTATAAGGCTTGAGGCTACAATAAAAACTTCTAGCCTTTTAGTGTTTTATTTAATATGGACATTTTAGATTTATATTTTTATGGTAAATAGCCGAACATGTTTTTATATATTTTTTTAAAAATTCAATATATTTTAATTATATATGTTATGTTGTTTTATAGTATTAGATTCTATAATATATCTTTATATTAAGTTTTTTTTCATGTAGATTAACATAATTATATTTTTCATTTCAGAAATATCATTGATTAATATAATGATATTATATAAAATTGTTCATTTTTTTAAGAAATATTTTTTTTAAAATTACTCAACCATCAAAATCTAGAAAAAAAATTGATTTTTTTCAAAAGTTTAAAATTATATCATTTTCTAGCTCAAAGAAAATTTCAAGATAGAAATATATTAAAAAAATCTAATATATATATATATATATATAAAATTAAAAATGTAGAAACATTTTAGAGATTTAATCAATTATATAAAAATAGATTAAACTATTAAACCATTTTTTCAATTATAGGAGTTGAACTTGTACTAATAATCTCTCCTCATTTTAATTTAAAAGGGATTGAGATTATTTTGAGGGAATTTCACAATTGTTTATACAAGTTTATTGGATTAATGCATCAATTTGTTTATATATATTAAACTATTTCTCCAATTGGTCTTTAAATGCTTTTAAATCCTTATATTCTAATGTATTTTTTCAATACATCCTTTATTCAACTTTATAAAGAAAATAACACTTAAGTTACAAAATTCAGAAATTAATTTTGATGAATTAAGAAGGGGAAAAAATAGCCTATATCAAATGAACCTTAAGAAAATAAATTTGATGAATTTGGCATAAAATAAAAAAATTTAATATTGACTAGATGGTTTATTACAAGTTATGATAAATACTCATCATTTTCTCAACTCATGCCATGTACTATCATAATTTATGAATCCATATAAGTTATTTTTTGTTGTGAAAATAAAAATAAATTTAACTAAAAGACCAAAACAATTAAAAGAATAAGAATCAAAATTGAAATAAAAATAAAAATAAATTTTTAACTGAAAGATGAAATTAAAAAGAAAAATAAATTTAACAAAAGGCCCAAAAAATTAAAAGAATAAAGATCAAATTAAAAAAGATAACACACTATAAATTTGGATTGAAGGATTGAAATATGAAATTAAAAAAAAAATTATATAAAGAGACTAAGAAAAAAATTTAAAATCAAAAGAGTAAAAAATAAAGTTAAAATACCAGTAATAAAAAGGGTCGAACTATAATTTTTAGATGAGAAAAGAGAGGAAGAAAAACAAATGTCCAATAAAAATATACTATGTCATCACCTTTGACAAGCATCGCATTATGAGAAAAATAATATGATAATGCTTTTAATGACAAAAAAAAAGTGGTTTTTACTATTCAGTGATAATGCTCGTACTGCTTAAAGTGCACATGCATAATCATCCTACAAACTGGTGCGTGTGTTGCACACGTTATCAATTTTTTTTAATTTAATTGTTAATTAAATTATATTAAATGACTAAAACTTTTTTGATAAACTATGTAATTGCAAAAAAAAAAAAACCAATATGAAGACTGAAAGACCCTTGAATGCAGTGGTTTTTACTATTTAGTGATAATACACGTGCTGCTCAAAGTGCATATGCATAATCATCCTACAAACTGGTGCATGTGTTGCACACGTTATCAATTTTTTTAATTTAATTATTAATTAAATTATATTAAATGACTAAAACTTTTTTGATAAACTATATAATTACAAAAAAAAAACTAATATGAAGACTGAAAGACCCTTGAATGCATGATTTAATTTTGTTAGATCTCAAAGATAAATATATTATTTTACTGTATTCAAAACAATAAAAAGATATTACTACTATTATTTTCAGTTTTATAAATTTTAATTTAAAAAGCAATTAGATCATTATGCTATAAAAAAAATAAAATAAAAACACAAAAATTCATGATCAATCCTATAATAGTCAATGCCCTTCGAAAAAAGTTTTCAATGCCCCGGAACCAAGACATTTGTTTTTCAAAGAAGGCAAAGACACTATTATGCTCTTACAATGAAACATGACAATGAATTTGTACCTGAAGTATTTTTTTTAAACAACAATTAGCTTGTGAAATTGTAATTGTAATATACTCGTTGTCACAATTCACAAACTCCCACTCTAATAATAATAAAAAAAATAATGCAAAATTAATCCACACATATGCAAAAGAAAGAGCATCTTGGCTACTCTCTAGGGGATAGAGAGCTGTATGGGACCCGTTACCTCCTCCCTTCAAAAGAGGGAAGTAAAGAAAGGATGAGCCATATCATATTTTAGTCCATGTAGATCCTCCTACGCTTCACTTTAGCTCCTGTATTTTAAAATCTCTCAATGTCTAACTCTATAATTTATCTAAAGTTACCATTCATTCCTCATCAGTAAATAGCTAATAAAAATTAGGCCATAGCTACATGAAACGGGTTTGAAGGATGCTGTAGCATAAACCATTCATGAATGGGTGAGTAGATAAAGAGCATCATATAATAAAGAATTACCATAACTATTAATGAAAGGGTAGTTAATTTTCAGGTTTTTCTTCCATCCTTATTTTTATTTCATATTTTCTTTTCAAAATCTCAAATTCAACATCAGTCTAGCTACGTAATATTAAAGGGATTGTAAATAATTTTTAAAAAAATTATGAAACCGATATGGAGAAATGTGAGTACAAGAAAGTGAAAATGAAATATTAATAGATTGATTAGGAATATTGTAGTGTACAATTAGTATATGGTAGCAAAAGAGTACAAACAGATAAATAAATGATTAGAAAAACAGACAACCCGCTCCCATCATTTTGTATTCTCTGTCCCTCGCTTTCACCCTGGCAGTCTCGTCCGTACCCTGTCCCCTCCTCCTCCGTGATTCCCCTCTTACCTGCAACCCTTTTGGCCAGTCACTCGCACGTGCCACCGCACCTGCACCACCCCCTCTAACCATGAGGATCACTACTACCCTCCCAAATCCCTTGCTCTCTGTTGCGCAACAAAATAAAAAAGTAGAGAGAGAGAGAGAGAGTTGTGGGTTGTTATTATTATTAATAAAGCATTTATATTTTTCTTTTTTCTTTTTTCTTTTTTCTTCTTCTTGGAGTTATTGTATTTCGTATAGGAAGTAGTGTTGGGGTGTTTGCACCCTGTTTATTAATTCTCTCTGTCTACATATTTGTAAAATTCCTCTGACCCTCACTTGAAAGATCACTTCTTGGTTGTGGGTTGGTTTGGTTTCTTTGTCTGATCAAATCTTTTTAAGACACAGAGAGAGATAGCAAAATCTTATATTGCACCTATGAGGATCAGGAAAAGACAGGTTCCCTTACCTCTATCTTCTCTATCTCCTGTACCTCTCTCAGATCCCCAGTTCCAGTCTCCTGTGGTGCAACTTCAAATACACAAAAACCCACCTCAAAATCTCCCTCAACAACCTCATAGGCTTGCTTGCTATGATTCCCAGCCATCTGATCAACCAAATCAACCGATCGGAGGTGGCCAAGATTGCTCTGGTAGTGCTGGGGCACAACAAGAAAAGAAGGTAAGCAGTGATTGTTAATTTTGGTTGGTGAGAAAAAAAACACTATACCCCCCTTTTAATATATCTTGTTTTTGAGTTTATTTGGTTGGTGGTTTAGTAGAGGAGTGCATTTGTGTTCAGTGTTACATGAAAAAGGCATTTCGTTGGATTCACCTTTTATGGTTAATTTTTGCACCCCATAAGATCATATTGGACAGCAAGTATAGTTGATTGTATCCTCTATTTGTTGTGATTTTATTGTGTAGATTATGTTGGAGAAAGATGAGAGATGGAGAGATGGAGAGAGGAGTAATGATACCAGGTGAGAAAGAATTGAAGGCATAAAGTAAAAAATCCATGTTCTTCTCTTATTTCATAAAATCTTGTACTAAAAGAGGTTGAAAATAGAGGCTCTTGTATGAATTTTACCAGGAAAAATACTGTAATTGCTAATTAGTGGAAATGGTACTGTTCAAGTGTTTTTATTTAATTATTTGTCAGCTTTGGCTAGCAACCATACCTCACCATCTACTCTAATCTAATCTAGGTGCTCTCTTTTTTCTTTATTTTGGCTTAGCTAATATGCCCATGCGGTGCATGTTAGCATGGGATGATGGTCCTACACATTTCGCTCTACATTCTTGCATTCTTCTCTTCTTCTTACTTGCTACCTGGTATTTGTTTCCTTGGGCTTTGTGAATTTCATGTGTGTGTTTGTGGATCTTCTTGGTCTGGTTATTTGTTTTAGGAAGGGAAGTTTCATGGGTGCAGAAATAGAAACTCTGAATCTTACACCATCGAGTTGTTCCCGTCAAGGTAAAACTCTTGTCATGTTTCAAAACAACATTACTAGCTATGTCCCCCACAGACGTGACACCATGAAAGTCATATACATTTTGATATTTGTTGTTTGATTGCACTACAGGAGTTGAGAGATGGGGTGAGGGAGAGAAAGCATATCCATTAAAGGGAAGAGGAATCTTCGAAAGACCATCAGATGATGAAGAAATAATAATGGAGAAAGCTAAGAAATTGAAGACAAAGATGAACAAGAAATGTGAGCTGCAGATCAAAGGTAATAACAAAAAAGAAGAAGAAAGTAATGAAATCGTCAAAGAGGGCCTTGGTGGTGCTCCTAATAATACTAGTGTTAAAAGGAAAGCTAGAGGTGGTGCCCTTATGGAAGGATCGAGGTGCAGTCGTGTAAATGGGAGAGGTTGGAGGTGCTGCCAGCAAACTCTTGTGGGATACTCACTTTGTGAGCATCACTTGGGCAAAGGAAGGCTGAGAAGCATGAATAGCGTTCGAAGCCGATCCATGGCTCGCACTGCACCTAAGAAGGCCGAGTCCAAGCCATTATCGAGCTCGTCCTCATCAGAGGAAAAACAAACGAAACGTTTATTATCAGATACTAAACTCGATGATGTTCCAGCTGATGAAGATGGAGATGACACGAAGCCTTTAATGATTGCGAAGAAGAAGGTGAAGCTTGGCATGGTCAAAGCTCGATCGATTAGCAGTTTGCTGGGCCTAGCAAATAATGGCATTGCAGTATCAGAGAGTAGCAAGTAGAATTGCATGTTTATGAAATTAAAGTCGAGAGTTGAGTTCATGTTGAGGACTGCAGTTTTTCCTTCTCTGTTTAGAGGATCTTAACGATAGAACAAAACGATGTTTGATAAAGTGTATTTCTTATAGCACCTCCTCCATTTTGATGCTTATGGTATGATCTTTATAAAAATAGAGATGTAATGAGCCAGAAAAGGTTTATACTAAATTATAAATAGCTAAAATATGGGTATTTATTTCCGGTTTAAAGTATATAATCTGCCGTAAATGCAAACTTTAGCGAACAGTTATATGGTATTATAAGGGGGAACCACCCGCATGAGAGTGTTCTTGTTTAATACTATGGTTACTGTGTAGATTTTGACCATGGAGACAGCAGTTGAGATTTGGCTGCATCCCAGGGTGTTTCTTCAGTTTAGTTTAAGTGTGTTTCTTAAAAAAAATATATATATATATTTTTTATTTTAAAATTGTTTTAATATACTAATATAAAAAATAATTTTTTTTAAAAAAAAAACAATATTCACTAATACTCTCAAACTCATACAGGCCGAAGAATAAGTGGAGATTGTTCACGGAAAATATGAATGCATTCCTTGTTTCTGTCCTCATGCAACAAATATAGCTAGTCATTCCATATCTTGTCCTATTGTGATCAATATCGACAGAGAGGCAAGAACAAGGATTGACTGTGTTTGTGTTGGTTTCTTTAGTCTTTTGCTTTTGCAGCTGCGTTGGCATGGACTCCTTTTTCTCTTCTTTGGAGCTCAAATTGATGCTTAATAAATTGGTGGCACAACAATAAATAAAAAAGAATAGGCAAGAATAAGGATTTATCACTCTAATTAACAAGGACAGGGCTTTACAATAACAATCTTAGTAAAAATACCCATTATGGTACATTTATTATTATTGAAATTCGTTGTTATATTAGTTGATCACAAATTGTTTTTTTTTTTTATATATATATATATAATATATATAACCAAAGAACTATTTCAAACTTCAATTACTTTTGGTAACATGTGTTCTGAATTTTAAATAGGATGTATAGTCTCTGTGCATAATATACATTGAGAAAACATCACTTCAACTTTGTCGTGATCATAAGAAGATATTTGTATATATTGAGCCTTGGATCTCATCCCAATGTTTACAAAATAGAGAACAACACTACTAATGAGATCTTTGTTTTGCGTTCGGATAATTTTTTTGGTTCAAAACCAAAAAATAAATACGCAAGTTATTTAAATTTATTTTTAAAAAAAATCTCTAATTATAAATAAGAAAGTCTTTATAATTATTTGTGTTAATAAATAAAAAAATAAATTTAATGTGTTTATTTAGCTCGTTTAGCTACAGATTAAATAATTTTTTAATACAAAAAAATAAATATATGGATATTATTAATATATTTTTTTACGTAAAGTAAAAAATATAATCATGAAACACAAAATCAACACTTACATATAATAAAATATGATAAAAATCACATGTATTAATATATGTAAGATTACAAGTTAATTTTTAATATAACCAAAAAATAAAATAATGTTGCAATTGCTATAATGAAATATCATTTTCTTAGTTTGTGCAAAATAAATTTTCAAAAATAAAAGGTGTAAACAAATTAAAAAAACAAATTACAAAAGAATAAAAAGAATAGTAAAAATATGCCAAGTGTAAAGAATAAAAAAATAATATTTTTTTCTAAAAACAAAGTGTAAAGAAAAAAATAGAAAAATAGAAAAAATATTAAAATCATGAATTTGACATGCAGGTTATAATATATATTTTTTTAAAAAAAATTCTAGATATGTACACTGCTTCAATATGTTTTTTTACAAGAAAATTAAAATTATAATTTGAAAAGTCTATGCAATAATCTAATTAAATAATTCAATAGCCATTTATGTAAACAAAAAAAATTGTTAACAATAACCAATAAAAAAATTGTAAAGATGAGATATTTACCTGATTATTTTTAGTAAGCTTTTTTGTTTAAATAAATAAAAAAAATAAATCTATCCTAAAATACTCATGGTTTAAATGATAAATACAAACAAAAATGATTGAATGAACTTACACCATAAAAAAATATTGTAGAAGGCTAAACACATGATAAAAATGTAAGGAGTGAACATATGCCAATATGATGTAAATATATATAAAAAATAAATAAAAAAAGCCTCAAGTGAACCTAACTAAATTAAATTAAATCAAATTTTAAAGGTTAAAATAAAAAAAAATTCAAAATAAAATATATAGAAATAAAAAATTTGAGAACTAAATAAAAAACAATTCAAAATAAAATATATAGAAATAAAAAATTTGAGAACTAAATTTGATATAATTAGCAAATAACATGATATTTTTAATTTTTTCACAACTTTTAGAAATTGTTTTCCTTCCAAAATAAATAGAAAAAACTTTCCTAAAAACAAAATTAAATTTTATTTAACTAAAAAGTATTTTTCGTTAACTAACTTTTTTAATAACAAACAAAACCAGAAAAATTTAGAAAGTAATTTTCATGAAATTATTTTTCGTAAAACAAACAAACCTAAATAATATGATGTTATTAGAACATTTAGAGATTTATTGCACATGTTATTTGCTTCCAAATAAGAAGTAATAAAATCTTAAAATAAAAGAATTCATTTATGATAAAAAAAAAAATGCTTGACCAATTCTAAAATCCTTAACAAAAATGTATTTATTTATGATCTGTTTAATCAAATACATTAATATGCTTGTTAGTATTGAATTTTAATTTTTTAATCATGTTTCTTTAAATATATACTTAATGTTCTTTTTATAAATATATATATGCTCTCCAGTTTTTTTTCTTTCGTGAATATCTAATTTAACTAGAATACTCCTGTTATGATAAAATAAATAATTCAAACTTGGTGAATATCTAATTTAACTAGAACACTCATGTTATGATAAAATAAATAATTCAAACTTGCTTATGTAATTTTGTTCTTACTCCACAAACACCATAGAAAAAAAAAATTTGATCTACTTAAATTTATTTTATAGCTTTATGATATTGTTGTTCCATATAGATGGAGAATTTAATGAAAATTAATAAAAATCTTATATGGCGTTGGTGTTTAATTGTAGCACTAGACACTATAATAAAATTATAATTTTTTTCTTGGATGGAAAAAATAAGAGCCTTTGAGTTAAGGATAATTTGATCTTTTTTAGAAGTTTGTTGGTCATTAAAAGATTATTTAGAGGGGTATGTTAATATTTTTTAAATTTATTGTACTATATAATTATATTTTTATTCTTAAAATCAACAAAATTTAGAATTGTTGACTAAAGATTATTTTTAACTTTAAATAAACTTTGAAACATTAAAAATACTTCTTTACTCTTAAGGTAAAAAGAATAACAGAGATGTTACCCAAGGATTTTTTTTTGTTTTTTCCTTTTTAGACTACAATTAAAATATAAATTTGCTTTTAGAAAAGACAAAAAAATGTTATACATTTAGGGATGTTTTTGTCTTTTCACATAGGTTTATTTGTGATATTTAGAATAATAAGCGGTGTTTTGATATTTTTACATTGAATTTTTATTTTTTATTCTAAAAGTTTGTATCCTTTGGACGACATGTGAGATATCAACTAGTGGCCAAACTTGATATTTTATCATGTTCTTGGAAGCTTCATCACGTTATCTTCCTGGTAGTATGATATGTGACGATAAATAATAGAATGTTTGTCCTAGGTGGTTATATCTTTTTTTTCTCTCTCTTCTGCTAGAAAAAGTGCATAATTGTCTTCTTAATTTTTGGTATTTGAATTTCAATTCTCATTCAGTTGATTTTTATAAATTTTTGTTTTTATCCTTTTTATAAAAATTTTATTTGTTTTCAATTTAGTCATTCAATTATAATTTCTCATATGTTATTTTTTTATTTATTTTGGTTCTTATTCTTTTGATTTTTAATTTTTCAATGGCCTTTTGTTAAAGTTTTATTGGTTTTCAATTTCATCCTTCAATCAAAGTTTATGTTGTTTTATTTTTTTTTTCAATTTGGCTCTCGTTCTTTTGATTTATTTTTTCTTATGTTAAATTTATTTTTTATTTTAAAAATAAAAAATTTCTTATCATACTATATTAGTTTTTCAAACCCTTTAATTGAAAATTTTGGTTTGTTCTCCAATTTATTTTTTATTTTAATTTTCACCTTTATTTTTTTAACTACAATTTCTTAGATCCTTTCGTATAAATGATCTTTTTTTTCAAGATTTTATCCTTTAATATTTGATTTGATGAGAATTGAACTTTATATTTTTGTTTATTTGTAATGCTTTTAATCTAATGATTCAAGTCATAAGTTTGAAAAGTTAATATCATTCATGTATTTTCTATTTTTTCTCATTTTCTTTTATGATTTTATAATTCTATATTAGTTCTTATTTCTTTTTTAAAGATTGTTTTTATGATTATCTTCAATTTATTTGTTATAAGTTTATTATAATCTCATAACCTATATCGCGAATTTTGAAGGCTTTTTTTGAACATATTTTTTTTAAAATTGTTTTATTTGTATTTTATTTTTGAAGATATTATTTTTTAAATTGTTTTATTTGTATTTGATTTTTGAAGATATTATTTTAATCCATCTTTTTTTTGTTTTATCGTCATCTTATATATATGTTTTTAAATATATATAGTCTTATATTTTATCATTTTAATATTTTTAAAGTATTTCATATTGATTTTTTTTAGTTTGAAAAAAATAATTTAAGCGGGGGCTAAGAATCTAAGGACATCCTCAAGCTCGAATAATCTACTGAATGTTGATCAAGAATAACGATTGGTGAAACATGTAAAATTTCCTAATTGTCTACAAAGGTCGGCCAGGTAGGCGCCTCCACGCATCCAGTTTTGCTACACAGGTCCATAGAGGCATTGTAGTCTTGACTACAATTGTAAAGAGATGGTCTTGACAATTTATAGACTCGAGCACTTGTTGAAATATATCTATCTTAATAGGTGAAACGATTGTAGATGGAAGCACGGCTGCCCGACTGGAGAGTGCTTTGCACTGAGTCGCTGTGGACGCGTTTGTGTATATATATTGGTGTCTCTATAGACTAGAGACCAGAAGCTGGGTGGTGTGGGGGCGGTGGGGCTGCATGGCATAGA